GTCCGATGTCGCTTCCTATTCGCCAAGGTTCTCTATGGCCTGGGAGAGAAAAGAACAGCAAGAAATTTGGAAGGCATTTAGGTACAATCAAGTACAATCTTCTCTTGGCCCCCTTGTTTCTCAGCCACATATATAAGCATAAAGATGCCGAAGACCACTCTGAAAACTCCGTTTCAGCTACGGGTATCAAGGTTAGATTTGACAGCTTTATGCTTGACATCCACCAGCGCCGAGAAGAGTTCAACACTCGAGACCGAGGTCACAAGACGAACGGTAGAACAACCGGTATAAAGATTCACGCAGCTCAACTTGATCTTGTATCTGCGGATGTTCGTGCTGTCTCTGCTAGTATCAAAGGCACGAGCGCCGAGGCAATCAAGAAGAATTCGATTTCGACCTTGATGACACAGCAAGATGAAGACGGTGCAGACCTCTCCCATTTCACGATTCCTGACAATGATTTTAGCTGGATCGACATGGATGACTTTGTCGAGCTCGACTCAATCCTACCCTCGGAAGCCAATCCAGACACGAAAATTCTGCCGCTCGCGTATGCTCCTCGTGTCACATATTTCAGACAGACAGACATCGGTGGCACCATAGATGGAGACCCTGACCGCACGAGTCCTTTCGGAGACGAACCCACCCATGTCTGTATAATGAGCCAGGATGACGATCCTAGGAGGGTCCAATTCCAGCTAATCCAATCTCGATTAGAGCAGCTGAAGGCTCAGATTGTTGCCAACACCCGCAACATCGGTGATGCTGAATTACGTATGATCCGTGATGACGGTAATGATCCGGAAATCAAAGCTGAATTTGAGATGCTTAGCAAGCATGATACCGTCTTGAAAGAAAAGCTAATGTTCATGGAAGATATGCTGCAGCAAATGGCAATTAAAACATCGGCAGATAATCAAAATACTCCAGGAGATTCTGAGTCTACGAGTCACGAATCCAGAGAATGGATCGATACAGGAGATGGAAAAGTCAGAATACCGTCAGGGACCGACTTTGCAAGCGACTTCAAGAACAGGTTTGTTATCCACAATGTTCAATTAAAGTGGAACAATCTACTACGAAATATAATTCTCCGATATAGCCACCAAGTTAGCCAGCGGCGTGGCTTCGTCTATTATCTATCTCGGCCTGCCGTCAAGTTCATCCTAGACATTGTTGAGGAGCAGACCAGGGCCAAGCAAAACAGCAAGTCCGCCAATACCCCCAATAATGATGCACGCCATCCTTCAGCCACAAATAGCACCAGGCAGTCTAGTGAGACCGACCCGGATATCGAATACCGTATCAAACAAATCCTGAAAGATGGTAGAAAGTATGTTGACGCCGATGGATACTCTTCAACCGAAGGCCCTACCAATATAAATATGGAGGACATCACCAGTGGTATAGCAGAAGAATTCGCTCCTCAAAACTCATACCATGTCCGCTTGATCGCACCGCAAATACAGCTCCAAAGTGAAAAGAACAAGAAGCATGTTGTTCTAATCACCGGAAAGGGAATGGAACTCAAGGTGGTCGAAGTTATGGAGAAGGCAAGATTGTCTGATCAGGTCAGCGGATTAGTCCAGCGACGTTTCTTGCTCAGAATGGACAGTGCACAGTTCTTTGTGACGCATCAGAAATGGTTCTCGGGTCAACTGCTATCGATGTATTCCGGCAACACCTATGGAACACCTGCCGGTTCTTCCTGGCCGCCTTGGGTACCTATGGAAGTTATGTACGATTTCCAGTCGGATCCTTTTGGCTTCAAACGGGTTGTTCAAGAGACATCAGCTACGCTAAGATACGACAAATTCAATACTCTCCGGTTAAAATACAATGACGAAGTCAATACAGAGGTCAACCCTCTTTCAACGGAGAGCACCGAAAGCAGGATGGATAGTCTCTGGGTAGATTTCCCCCAGGCTAGGGCTCTTTGCAATTCGTCGCAATACTACGCGATGTACGTTATCGTGCTTGACCTTCTTCTATACAGCGAGCCTCTTGAGAAGACGAGGAATGAGAGGTTAGAGAAGATCATACTGGCCTCGGACTTCAGCGACCTTCGAGGAACCCCGGAGATGGTCACTAGATTGCAGGAGCGTATTCGTCAACTAGAGGATATCAAGGCACACTTCCAAATCCATTCGAAGTACTTAGACAAGAAGGGATGGCAGGATCGATTGCTTCTGGAACGCGATCTCGCAGCGTGCGAAGATGAATTATTCTTTGTGATGAAAGCCATTACTACCTCACAACGGAAATACGATAATGCGTCGCAGAGTAATGCTCTACTGAGATGGACTATATCCGCCAAGGAAATCGTTTGGCATCTTATTCGCGACAACAACGAGCCCCTCGTCGAATTACAGCTAAGGGATGTCGAGTATGACCGAACCGACAACTCCGACGGATCTCATATCAATCTAATGCAAGTGGGCAAAGTGTTAGGGTTAAATCTTATGCCAGATGCGATCTATCCGGAAATGATTGCTCCTTACTTTGAGGATGAGAAGGCAGCTTTTGCCGGTCTAGAGGGCAAACAGATGGTCCGTGTCTATTGGCACATGCTAGAAGCTATAGCAGGCATACCTGTGATGGACCATTTCGAAGTAAATCTATTTCCCATGAGAATCCAGCTCGAACATGAAGTTGGGAAGAAACTTTTTGAATACATATTCCCTGAGATGAATGAAGATAAGGCTGACGAGCAGTCTGACTCGCCATTTATTCTGAGGCCAACCTTCCCTGGCGAGACGGAAGAAGACGACGTGCCCGACGAGACCATGTCCAGCTCTAGTATGCTTGGTTCTGCCACCTCTGACAAGGAGCCTTCGTTCTCAACGCGGGCCGGGTCATTGGAGCTCCGTCTTCGACCTACCTTGACCTTGGATTCGCGTCAGCCTGAAGACAGTTATCAGAAGCCCAAGGCCATAAGCGTCCATTCGGGTGATGGTGGCAGTGTATTCCGGCTCTTTAGCTCGAAGACGGTTACTAAAAAACCGTCATACGAATCTATTCAATCAGGTGCCGCTTCACAGAAAACTGGGATTGGCCGAGCCGCAACGATTGCTTCAGTCAACAACAGCGAAACCAAGAAGAGCGGACGGTTCGGTCTCTCCCGAAAATCTGGCAATGCAGACGACAAGCCTTCGGATGACTTGACAAAGATGATAGCACGCGCCTCAAACTACGTAACCTTTGCGTATATTAAGCTTCCGTCAGTTGTTCTTTGCCTTAGCTACAAAGGTAGAGGTGACCGAAATATCGAAGATGTGCATGACTTCGTCTTCAGACTGCCAACGATCGAATACCGTAACAAGACATGGTCCAATTTGGACCTAGCCCTGGCGTTCAAATCTCGCGTGATCAAGGCACTCATCTCTCATACGGGTGCTATCATCGGTAATAAGTTCAGTAAGCATCGGCCTAACACAGCACAGCAAAACAAGCTGCGTGAGCTAGCAACTAGCAGCGTTCTCCTTGCAACGCCAAGTATGTCCAATAGCGGCGACAATAGTGATGATTCGTCAAGCTTATATGGAACGAGCCCGGCTGATTACTCACGGTCGCCACCAAGGAGCATAAGAAGCGCACATTCGAACGCTCCGGGACCACAGCGACCACCAAGTCGGAGTTCTAGTCTTGCTTCGTCCCGCTCTTTCGGCCATGCATTGAGCAATAGCGTAGAAACCAGGAATACACCACCTGTGCCTTCATTCGTTAAGATGACACCTCCGACACCGATAGATCGTACGCATAGTGGCCTAGGAATCGACATGCCTCGACCAAAAACTAGTGCGAGTGCGAGTGCCGCGGATTCCTTGAGCCCGTTCCGGCCAACTACTAGCAGCGGTGTCACCAGCGGCTTCACCATGATCGAAGATAGAGGGAGGCGAAAGTCGAGCAGCCCGGGCTTCATCAAGGGGAAATTGAACGCGTTGACGAGCCGACTTAGGGATCGGGATAACAACGACGCTAAGAATAACCACGAAGATGAGCAAGAGGACGACGACGAAGATAGATGGATGTGATAGACGATATAGAGCAAGGCGCAGCAGTCGGACCACATTGGCCGGTATAAATCAACGAAGTAATCGATAATTACCCCCGAAGTCAAAGAGGCGCACAGGCGTATATATGTACAACAGGATACCGCACCAAGCCCACAAGTCGCTTTGGGTAGGCTCCACGGTTGGCCACGGTCGTTTTTAAAATTTCCCTTCAGTTTTTATCATAAGCATTTACACCCCTTTTTTCATATGCACATTCGGAGTTAGGGAGTTGAGGTCGGCAAGGAAGCCGGTAAACCCTCAGGCGCTGGAAATAGACAACAACAAGCAACAACAGCCTTAGGACTCCCTAATAAGCGTTTAGGTATATATATATATATAGTTTGCCAGCGATATATATTTGGTTGGGGATGGGAAGAATAAGCATTGCATTGGAGGAGAGGGAAAAAAAATTAGGTGTATTAATGGGTTCTTTTGATATTGATACTGGTAGTTGAATAAGATGAATACTTGTTTACCTAACATAAGTTTTTAGTATATATTGAGTAGAGGTTGTAGGAGACTTGACGATATATATCTGATAATATGTATCTGATAATAATAAACCGTATTGGCAACGTTGAGTAGCAGCAAAAGCTCAGGTCGTGTCAGAAAGTGCTTTAATGCCTAGGTACCTTATATATCAACAATAGCAATGTTGAAGAACTTGATCTCTAGGTAGTTATAGTGCAAAGGTAACTAACCTACTTAGTTAACATTAGAATTAAATTCGCCATATAAAGTTGATAGTTAATAGGAGAAGGGTATCTCATACCGGCTTCGGAGAGCCGCTAACCTCTGTGGTGGAAAACATGGTAAGACATATCCAGACCTTGTTTATTGGGTGAGCATACTAAATAACCCCCTTGTTGAGCTATGTATCACCCATATCTTCTCCTCCCCTTTTCACCCCTATCTCCTCACCCTCCCCATCCTCTTCGTCTTCTTCCTCCCATTTCCCCATTTCCTTTCCACCACCACACCTGCCCTGCCCTGCCCTGCCCCAACGGCCTTAACACTGCTTGGAAGCCGGCACCTTCGGGTCCTTGCCCAGATCCCGCAGGTACACCTCGCAGTCGTAGCCGTAGCGCTGGTCGCCGCCGTGGGCGCGCGTGTACGCCTCGACCCAGCACAGCGGGCAGACTAGGTACGCGGCGTTGGTGAAGCCGATCCAGGGCCGGGCCTCGTGCATGCACGTGTTCTCGTGGCATGGGCACGGACAGCTGAGCATTTGCGGCGGCGGCGGTGGTGGTGGTGGTGGTGGGGCTGGGTCTTTGTCCTTGGTGGCGGGAGTAGGTTGGTTTTGCGATGGCGTGTCGGTGGGCGGCGGAGGAGGGGACGTGCTTTTGTCGGTTGGGGATAGGGTTGGGGGTTGTGTTGACATGGCGTTTGTGCGCTGGGTTTGCTTGGTAAGAGCTTGGGTCGTAAGAAGGGAGCAGCGTAGGCGGTTACGTCCGTACAAGTTCGCATGCGTGAGGTCTTTGGCACATATATATATATATTAGGTACCTATATATATATATATATATCGAGAGAGTCGAATACGTCTTCAACTGGTTGGCAGTCGTCGTCGGTACTAGTTGAGTAAGGCAGGTACCTATTATATATCGTAGCGAGTCAAGTTCTGACAGAGCGAGATAGACAGACAGACAGACAGACAGACAGAAGAATAGGAATAATAAAAGCACCGGCAGCGACGACGCCCACACGCAAGAGCAACGCTCGCGCGTCCATGCGTCATCGTAGGACCCTCCTCCAAATCCCTCCGTGAGTCCGCAACGCACGACTGTAGACAAAGGCGCTGTGGAACAACGCCGGCCTTCAAGACTAACTGATAGGCTCGAGCCACCAGAGTCACGAGCAACAAGTGTCACCGCAGGATAAGGGAATACCGATGGACCGGGGGAAGTAATACTGTCTTGTGCCATCGTGAGGCAACGGGGGGGGAGGGTTCTACACGTGTGGCCGACGGGGAAACCACCTGCGTCGCGGTTGTGAATCACGTATTAGTCCCGATGAGACGGCATGGGGTAGCAAGGTAGGTGCAGGATCGACTTGAAGATGTATTCCAGCACTGGCAGGTAGACTCGTGATGGAAAGCTGTTTGTTTCATTAGGTAGTCTTTTCACTATCCGATACTCGCACTACCTAATATAGTTGCAGCATCTTCTTGCCTTGTCCATCCTAAAACTCACCCTATAGAGTTTATCTATAAAATATATAATTGGCAACACCCCTGAGTAGAAAATGCAGTCAGCCCTCGGAGATAAAAAGGGGGAGATGCATTAGGTATAGAAAAGAATTATGAAACCCTCATACTACCCCTAATTTGTGACAACCTCGAGTCTTCATATTCATCAAGGTATAGTACCGTGTCAATTGCCATTATATCCAGCTGTTTAGGTCGACGATGGGGCGGATGGATGATACATGCGATAATCGGGAATTATAGCGGCAAGACACATCCGAGTCGTATGGCTGCAGGTCTTGGTATGCGGTTTATAAATAAACCCTGTAGCAAGTCCAAGCCCTCCCAAGGAACTGATTAGTCCGCTCCATGACGAAGTGACGCCGATAACCATTTGCTTAATTACCTTAGGTAGGTATGAACGAAGAGCGCTTTTGATGACGCTCGATAACCTCCTGAAGGACGACATCACCATGCTTCAGCATCTCGTCACATGTAACAAATGGAAATAACCTAAATCAGATGGCTGTCAAGACGGTAGACCGTATCATAGTTATCATGGCTTATTAGGTGGTAATAATACATAGCCAAGTCATAAGCCAGATTGTAAATAGGTCCTTCTAGTATTCGAAGTCGTCATCCACAGACGGGCCCTTGCTCTTTGTCACACTCTCCTGTTTTCTATATAGCTCCGCCACTTGACGACTGCTTGTCGCCTCGTCCGGTTTCTTATCGTCTCTCACTTTGATGAATCTAGGGAACCGCAAACTAATTCCCTTCTCGCCGGCCGGGTCGACGTTCTCCTTCAGCCCTGCCTTATACCTTGGGCTTAGTGTTAAATCCGCTGTTCGCACTTCCCAGACATAACGTGGTTCGAACCAGACGTCTGGTTGATGCTGCCCACCCGATGAGTGCGAGTAAAACGGTTTTGGGCGATCAATTACAATAGCCGAGAGTTGCTTATGAAATTCTTCAAGAACTTGCTCAGAAAAGCCGGTGCCGATATTGCAGATCGTTTCGTACATTTCGGTAGCCGCGTTATAACAGGCGAGAAGGAAAGCACCATAAACAGATGTACGCTTACCCTTGCCGTAGTAGGCGCCGAGGACTACTAAATCAAGAGAGTCGCCTAGTCCTGTGAGGTAATCTTTCTTGATCTGCTCCGTTATTAGTAACAACCGATAAATATGTATAGGTAGTTAAGTTCTTACCTTGAGCCAATTTCGACTTCGTTTGCTGGGCTCGTACCCACTCTCTGAACCGTCAAGCATCTTGACCATCAAGCCTTCGCATGAGGCCTTGACACTCTCGTCTAAGAATGTCTGGATTTCGTCCAGTTCCCTACCATTCATGTGTGTCGCGAAAGCAAACTCGCCTTCCACTGGTTGGAAAGCGCTGTGAAGCAACTCGCGACGTTCTCGGAGCGACTTTTCGACCACTGCTTCTCCGTTTAGGAATAACAAGTCGAAAGCAAAGACACAGACCTTGACTTTCACGTCCTCCAGCTTGACGTCCTTCTTCTTCCTCGTCATCAATTGCTGGAAAGGAAGCACCTTTTTCTCAGTTACATCCCAAGCAACGGTTTCGCAGTCTAACACGAAACTCTTGGTGCCTTCTTTGACCCAAGTTTGAAGCTTTCCAAGGATATCAGGGTATTTCTTGGAAAGGTCCTCTGAGTTTCGCGAGAAAATAGACGCAACACCCTTGGCAGCTTCCTGCGTAGCACCGGGAAGAGCGTCAATATACTCTTCCGAGTGGTCCTTAGCAACATAATGAATTTGTGCCCTCTCGCCGTCATACTTATACTCGCAGGTAAAAGTCTGATTTTCGAACCGATCAAGAACCTCCGTGATTGCTTTTGTAGGCTTCGCAAGCATAGGCTTAAGAGGGACTCCTGGGCGAAGCTTGCAGGTCTCTTTCAGCCTCATGATGCCATTCTTGATCATAGTTGGGATAATCACATCCCAGCTAGGAAGCTCGCTATTTCATGTTAGAATAGCCAATTAACGTTCAGCAAAATTACTAACCTGTACACCGTCTTCAACGTAGCCGCTGCTTCGTCTATCTCCTTGGTACTGGGTACTCCGCCTTTTTGGTCCGCTTCGTGACAGATCATAGCCTGTGCTATGGCTACAAGAACCGTCTTCTCTGCTAAGCCTAACCTGAGCTTCCCTTCGAGAAATCGGATCAAGTACTTGGCCTCGCTGGGACCGCCCTTATCCTTGTAAATATCAACCTTACCAGTCGAACTAGCATCGGCAGACGACAATAACTTTTTAATTCCATCAACTTTTCTGCCTTGGGCGCCATTCCCAGCCACGGTAGCAATGTCCATCAGGCCTTTATGCACACCCCTGATAGTTAACGGCTTAGGTTTGAACATAGTTGGCTGAGTTGATCTGCTCTTGACTGCAACAAGACCCAGGTCGCCGATCTCTTTCTGGTCAGCTTTTATAACCTGTAGACTACGCCCTGTCGTTTCACCTATGGCCTTCATAATTAGTGATTCGCCAATACCAAGTTCAATGCCTGCATAATCAGGGGCTAATTTGTTGATCATCAATAACACCGTCGGAAGGAAATCGTCCGGGGTTAAGCGTAAGACTTGTCGGAGGAATAGAGAGCAATACTCGGTGATCTGAAGTCGTTTCGACGTAACTTCGATAAGTGAGAAAGTTGTGCATAATGCAGCGTAAGGCACTGGCTCTCCGGGCTTCCAGTCAGGATACGGGTCGTTCACCATGCTCTGAAGCTTGGTTTGAATTTTTTCTTGGGCCTTAGATGCAACCTCCGGTTTCTCATCCTCATCTTCCTCCTTTTCTATTTCAGATGCAGACTCAGAGGATTCATCTTTGGCATCGCCATCCTCCTGCTTGGGCGCTGGCGACTCTTCCTTGACGGGGGCGGACTTGGCAGGGGACTTCTTTGGGGATCGTTTGCTACCTCCGGTTGATTTCTTAGGCTTAGCTTGCTTAGCTGGTTTAACTGGCTTAGCTGGCTCAGCATCGACCATGGCCTCGTCTTCCTCATCCTCATCATGAATTCGAGGACGACCCCTTCGTCGTCTTTTCACGACAGGTGCCTCTTGTTCAAGCTCTTCCTCGGGCTCCTCAGCTTCAACCCTAGTCTTCACAGAGGATCGTTTCGTTTTACTCTTTGGGGAGGTTGGAGAGCGAGATCGCTTTCTGGTGTCTGATTGCATCGAGATTAGTTATGAGCCAGAACAACGGTCATGGTGGAAAGTAATTCGAACCTTTCGTGGAATCGCCATCTTCTGTCGCATCGGCGCTAGATTTCCTTTTTGGTGAAGCTACCTCTTGGTCATTGGCTGAAGATTCCGGTTCCTCTTTTACTTTCTTAGCCGACTTTGTGCTAAAAGAAAGCTTCGACTGCTGTGGTGCCGGTTTAGGGCCATTGGGTTGGCCAAAAAACTTTCTAACCTGAGTGTTAGCAAGTGATCATCTCGCACGGCACGACAGACAAGGAAGACCCACCCTAAGGTGGCCTGCGAAGATTTCACGTACCCCAAGGTAGCTTGCTTGGGCGCCATTTTGAGCAGTCTGGTAGCAGACGTACTCGTTGCTACTTTAAGTAGACAACGCAAGGCCAGATTGGAGAAAATGGTGTATTGGGAAGAAATTAGAACCGTCTAAGTAGGAAGCGACTTCCGGAGTTTTATTGTCGTATTGCGGGATTGGAGTACTGGCAGGCAGGCAGGCAGGAGGCAGGAGGCAGCAACCAACCAACAATTTCTTCTGCATTAAAACTTGACGCGACTTCTCTAACTTAACCGCGTTAAATGGAATTGTAACGCGAGATTGCAGGCATCATACAGTGCTATCAATCATAGTTAACTGTGTATACTGTGTATTTTACTATCGATAAAAGGTACCTATATATCGGCTTATACTTGTCCGTAGTTATCAGCTTCAACTTAGCGACTAATAATAAGTAACATTATATAGTCACTAACAACAGTGAAACCATGAAGATTCCTTACATAGCATTGCGTCGACTACAAAGGTCTCAATGCATAGGCTATGCAATCTCTAGGTCTTACCCTCTTGTTTGTCGCCGTGGATATAGCAATTCCAATGGCTCTCTTCAGGGCAACTTCGAGACCATCAAGGCTGAGATGTTGGCTCGCCCGGCTCAGTTAAGCTGGGATGTTATGTCACCAACAAATTCCTCCCTTCTCAACATAGCTCTAGCCGACTTCATACCTGAAAGTTGCCAGGCCCCAGCATACCAGGCGGGCGCTAGGACTATCGAAAAGGTCGACGCTAAGTACGAGCTTCCGCAAGGTCATCATCTCGTTTACTTCCCGTTGCAGAAGACTGCCTCTGAGTTATGTCACGACGGCACGGATCCCTTACATAGTCCCGGCGGCCCGTTTGAGCGGCGCATGTGGGCCGGTGGCTCTATCGAATTCAACGACGATTTTCGGTTAGACTCTTCGAAAGTTGTGTGTAGGGAGAAAGTAGATCAGGTCACAGTGAAGGGGTCCGAGGGACAGGAGAAGATCTTTGTTGATGTACTACGCGAGTATATGAGGGAGGGGGACTTCAATCATCCGTCTACGTCTCGGGGGATAAAGGAGCGAAGAGGTCTCGTCTTTATGCGTGGGGTAAATAAAGAGCAAGCCCGCGAAAACTTAGCAAAGGCTGCCTTAGGGAGAGACAGAATTATCAAGGGTATGTCAAATTTAAATACTTGTCCCTTTTCATCCCCCGATAAATTCTGCTCATCTGTGAGTTCTGTGACCATGACTAAAATTCTAGCAAAGCCCCCAATGCCCCCGACTTCTCAATCGCGCTCACGCCAACACCCACACTTCTGTTCCACTACAGTGCATTAATATTCAATGCACATTTGATTCACTTGGATCCAGAGTTCTCTCGTGAGGTTGAGGGGCATCGTAATCTCCTATTCCATGGCCCTCTCTCCCTTACCCTGATGCTTTCCGTGCTAAGATCGCGGCTTAAGCCGGATGAGAAAGTCCATAAGATCGACTATCGAAACTTGGCCCCTCTTTATGTTAATGAACCTCTGCGTGTCTGTGTTAGGCATAGTGGAAATAAGCAAGAGCCAGCAGAAGGCAAGTCTCGAAAATGGGAGCTTTGGGTAGAGGGCCGAGACGGGGGTCTCAGTGTAAGAGGCACAGCTGTAAGTTGCCAAAGAAGGAGTGAATAGGAACAGATTAATGAGGACATATTGGTTACATTGACTATAAAACCTAAATATACTATATTAATTTATACTGGTACAGGTCACAAATCAGTCGGATATTACGCAGGAGTCATCACTTAAAAGTACTGTGACAACGTGAATGGAAATAACAGAAACGCATCTATAGTATGTGAATACTATGTGAACAGTACGTCCTAGCAACCGTATCACCATGACTATGCAGAATATACACTTTAAAAATATAGTTGTCATGCTTTTTAATTTATTATCACGTTCTACAACCTTGCAAGGTTATCCGATGCCTATAAATACACGTTCTCGCGTTTGCAAGATGAAGAAGTCATGAGTATTCGTTCCATTTCATTTGCTCTCATGCATTGATTAACCACCAAAGCTCAGCGCAGCTGCGCAAATGCCGCTCATAAAGCCGCTAAAAACGACAACCCTCCGAAAAAATAGAAGGGAGATCAACTAAGAACCTCAATACTGATTCTCCGTTTCGCCGCGTCAATGCATCATCTGATTTCCTTGCCCATCTTGTGAGACCAAAATGCCCCCATCATCGTCCATCTCATGGATATTTCCGTTAACTACCTAGGTTAGGTTAATCCTTAAACCAGTCTAAAATTTCGGTCACGACTTCAACGTGCCATCCCATAAAAACTAAAAGTTCAGTGATGCCACCTTAATGTACATCACTAGTAGTGAAAAACACGAGGTCCAAGTATATTGATAGCGACCATCCCAGATATCACCGAGTCAGGAAACTCGGTAACTGAACGGATTCGCGTCTGATCAAAGACCATTGAGAGATCCTCAAATCTGGACGCGGGCGGACTCGACCTCGTTATGTTGAAATGAATAATTGGTCGTTTATCGCAAAGGGGTATCAAGAAAAGACTAGCTTAAAAAGATCATATGGTACCTCTATGCGCTTTAAGTAATTGGAGCGAGGAACGGACTAAGCATGAGTTCGTCTGCGCTCGGTCGCAAGTTGTGGTCTATCTCAAAGGTCTGACTTAAGAACTTAATTGCTTCAGGACTGGCACTTTCGGGAATAGTCGGGGCAGCCTTACCACCTCCAATCTTGAAGATGGCTTGCAACTGACTGCAGTCCGGGAAAGGATGTGCTCCAGTCATCATTTCGACAACTAAGCAGCCGAGAGACCAGATATCAGCCTTGCGTGTGTACGAGGTTTGCTTAACCACTTCAGGGGCCATCCAGAACACCGAGCCTTGCAACGATGGCCGATTCTTGTTGTTGTTGGCGCCATTAAGAATATTAGACGCCTCGAGCTTCTTGCTGATTCCGAAATCGGAAATCTTGATCGTACCCTTGTTGTCTACAAGGATATTGGCGCCTTTAATGTCACGATGGATGATATCTCGGTTGTGTAGGTACGAGAGACCATTCAAGATCTGCCTCACGAAACTGCGGACAAGAGGTTCGGGAAGGGCACCATACGAGTTGAGCATGGTCTGGACAGAGCCACCAGGGACGTACTCGAGGAAAATATTCAGGTGCTCAGCCGAGGAGCTGCAGCCGAGATATTGCACAATGTTTGCGTGTCGGAGATCTCGGAGCAGACTAATCTCTCGCTTAAGAGCCTCAATCATACTCTTCTTTCGAGCATCCGTCTGGCTGTTCGCGCCGGGCGAAGGCGTCTCGACTTGCTTGACGGCAAGTAGCTCTCCGGTCACGGCGTGTAAGGCCAAGTAAACGCTACCGAACGATCCTTGACCAATCAAGGCTCCTTTCATCCACTTGTTATCGTCCCATGACTCACCAGCTAAGAAGCTCTGTAGTTCCTCATCGGCATCTTCACCATCTTCACTTAGGGCTTGAGTAATTTCCTTCAAGGACCCAGAGCCCTGAGTACTAGATTCGTCGAAGTAGCTCTGGCGAACATTCCCTTCCGGATCTGTGATGCTTATCGGATTGGTATCCGAACCGCTATCTGCAAATGAAACATAAGACTTGCGGTTAGGTTCGATAGGAGATTCCTCTTGAAGAGTGTCTAGTACGGATGAAGCGATCGAATCCCGGAATGAATGCGGCATGCGACCTTGATTCTCGCGAGCCTTGACTTTGGCAAGCTGACCGCTATTCAACCATGAATCCGCAATAGTCGGGATAGGGGGTGCATCTTGGATACTAGATGCAAAGCTGAGGTTGCTAGCGACACTAAGTCGGCTGTTCACCTTGCTTAGGCGAGTAGACCTACGCATAGATAGTCGGGCGGTTCGGTCAATATCTTCCCTAGGGTGATCAGGGAAGTATGAGGTGAGATCCGAAGTAATCAACTCGCTGGGAGGTCTCAGACCACCAAACGGTCTCATAACCTTTCGTCTCGGGACGGCCCTAGCGTCACTGGGTGGTCGTTCCAAATCCCTAGCAGTATTATTGAGATTCCTCTCACGGTCCTGGAAGGAAATTGGCGATAGCGGCTGCTGGAGCCCTTCGTTCCAGCTCTCACCTAATATCCTTTGTACCTTTTCTTGACTCCTCTTATCTTGTATATTTCCGAGACCCTGGCTGTGGTATTGTTGGGCTTCTTCCATGGCAATAGAGGCGGCTCGCTGCAGCTCTTTCTCTCCTGGCTCTCCGGACGGCACTCTTCGGAGGATGAGGCGGTTTCTCTCGGGTCGCTTTTGATCCTTAATGATGCGCCATAGTTCGGTATCGCCGAGACGACGACATTGCTTAGGGTCGGGGTCAACACCGGCTAATATCCAGAAACAGTAATTGCGATCATGGTCCTCTCGTAATGCGAATTTTCGTAACGTTACCCGCATAACTTCTTCGCAGGTATTGCAGTCGGCAATCTTAACAACCTTCGTAACGCCACCGTTCCAGATGACACGGATGACGTCTTGACCCTGTGGTAAAGCAGCCATCAGCGAACCATCCTGACTTGAGGCATTCCGTGTGTGTGTAATTACCAGACGGCTCTGCATAGTCGGCGAACCAGGTCCCCGAGCGGTCGAATTCGGTGTCGTATTGCTCATATACTGCTGGTTCTGATACCTCGGTGGCCTAACACCTCGGGCATCAGTGTTGGGTAGAGGCGAATTCGGTCGTGACGAGGATTTCGCGACGTCTGCCATTGAGGTCATAGGTAAGGTTTGCATGTCAAGCCGCGAATACCTCTTGGTAGACGCCGTGGCAATACCACGGCTGCTAGGGTTGGGGTGTCGCGGGGACCCTGTTGAGGAGGGGGCATATTGGGAATCCAGTCCCCCGAAAGAATCCTGAAGAAACGTGTTAGATAGCAAGTTCAGACAATTTCCGAAGCCAATACAATAATGCTCTTCACAGGCATTAACACGCGCACTGGGTGTCGACTTACTCGGTTGCGCCTCTTCTGGTTCGCGTAAGCCTTTGTCCTGAGCTTCTTAATACCCAGAAATAGTCGAACCCGATCGCCGACTTTCTCGATGCCCATCTCTTTGAGGACCTCCTTATCCATTTCCAGCAAGTTCTCGCCGTTGATGTTGTTCTTCCTGAAGAGCTTCTCATACTCGCCACATTTGACACTCCTTAGATAGTCGCAGACTTGATCTTCAGTCCAGTTCTTAACTGCGTCGGGGCCATCGAGATCAGAAAACTCGGACTCGGTTGGGCTAGCGAAGGCTTGACCCGTGGCATGGACGGCAGGTGGTCTCCTCGAGGGCGCCATACCAGATGATTGCGCGCTCGAAACCAGAGTGGAATTCGAGGAGGCCAGCGAAGCCGGAAAAGACGATTTCGAAGCCAGCATAGCCATTGTGAATGATTGTCGACTAAGACTGTCAGGTACGCATGTAAAGGAAGAATTGGAGACCTGCGTAAGAAAAGAAAAGAGGACTTGATTAATTCCTTGTTTCCAACTCTTTTTTTGCTTATCTTTCCTTTTGCGGGGTGGAACAAAGAGTCAACTTTGCACCGAGTAATGGCGAGAACCCCGGATGAATTAAGGAAAGTCGGCAAGTCGAGAAATGTATCGACGTGATGAGTGTGGAGCGTGGATTTCGAGAGGATTAGAAGTCGGGGGAATTAATTGCAGGAGTCGATTTACAGGTACTTGAGTTGATGTACATTCCTGTTAGCGGGTTAGAGTTCGTTGGCGTTGGTGTAACCGCCAAGGGTCTTTCTTAGATGCAGGCTGACTTAGCCCCACCTCCTTAGAATAGCTAAATCGAGGCACAGGGGTGGATTTGCAGGGTGGATTGCTGCGTAGTATGTACGCTATACAGTGTACAGTGTATGCTATACAGTGTGTCTACTAAGTCCAATAAGCCCTATCTAGGTACTAACCCGCGCTATGCTTTAGCTTCCCGGTTCGCGGGGGTTTCACTTTGTCTACTATTATGTACATTAACCCAGGGCAAAGGTACCTAATGTACCTAGGTAGGTGTGTAATTGAAGCTTACAGTACATCTGACTGTGTAGTACATACTAAGTTATAATTGGTCCGAATATAAAGAAAGAGGGCGGTAGCTGACGGCGATAGTTGAAACTCGTTAAGGAGCGCACGGCCGCTGGATCAGCAGAAAAATCCCGTCATCGACTTATCTGCTAATAGCAGCCCATCGTTCTATCGGACGAGATGGAAAGAAAAAAGAACGATTCGTTTCAATACGGAATATCTAGGTAAGCATAACAGGCATTAATAGTTCGTACGATGCTTACGATAAGTTGGCTACTCGGCCGACAATCATTCGCTTTCTTTTTTTATTTACCTATCATTATTATTACCCATCTCCCCCTACGATGGCACCTACGATGACACCTACGATGCAAGATCAGAGATAAGGTCTCTTTATGATAATTCGCGTGTGCATGCTTTATGCTCTATTTTTACAACCTCCTTATAATAAGGCCGGGTATATACAAGACGTACCTATGTAATTCATGTAGATCCATCTACATGAATGTAAGTGTTAGGTACCTATCACCTACCTAAGTTCATGTGGTGTGTACGGGCGGCTACTCGTCAACAATCACATCTCGCCCCCATTCAGAAATCGGGGTGCGTACCCCTTTTGGGCACATCCGTATAGCTAATTTCGATACCCGTACACAAAAAACCTCCGTGTCGGTGTCGCCATTAAGCTAATATGCTAATATGCTAATATGCTAATATGCTAATATGCTAATATGCTAATATGCTAATATGCTAATATGCTAATATGCTAATATGCTAATATGCTAATAT